TATCGTGTTGGCAACCAAACATTGGAAGCATTATTTGGGTGATAAGGAGTTTGTGGTGGAGACTGATCATAAACTCTTGGTTTATTTGGAAACTCAGAAGGATCTGTCCAAACGACAAATTCGATGGGCAGAGTGGCGTCAACGCTTCAACATGAAGATTGTGTACGTGGAGGGAAACAAGCAACTTGTAGATGCTCTCACACGCATGCCTTGTTTGAATCATGTTGCAGAAGTGAAAATTCAGGCGGATTGGTGGAGCAAGATATCACAAGCCACAAAGGAGGATGAAGAGATCACTCGGGCACTACAAATTGAAAAGGCAGAGAAATCTCGAGGTTTGGCGTTTTACAATCAGCGTATATGGATTCCACAAGATCACGATTTGCGCACAATGATTTTGGCAGAAAGTCATGATACAGCCATTGCAGGTCATGTGGGAGTGGAGAAAACCGTGGAGAGTATACAACGAGTGTACTATTGGCCCAAAATACGTGAGGATGTGGAGTCTTATGTTCGAAGTTGTGTTGCTTGTCAACAAAACAAGGCAAGTAATAAAAAACCAGCGGGTTTATTACAGCCTCTTCCTATTCCCGAACAGCGGTGGGAACATGTCACCATGGATCTTGTATGTGAGTTACCAAGGACTTCGTTAGGACATGATTCAGTGGTGGTTTTTGTGGACAAATTGAGCAAGATGATTCACATCAGGCCAACCACAAAAATAGTAACAGCTCCACAACTAGCTCAATTGTATCTAGACGCAGTTTTTGTGAATCATGGCTTAAGCAAAGTGTTAATCACGGATAGAGGTACTCACTTCACTAGTTTATTTTGGAAAACTTTGTTTAGTTTTTTCAAAACAAAACTAGCAATGTCAACGGCCTATCATCCTCAAACTGATGGACAAACTGAGAGGGCAAATAGAACCATAGAGGATATGCTACGAGCATTCACATTAGAAGAGCAAGAAGAGTGGGACAACCTTTTGCCACTTGTGGAATTTGCATATAACAATTCTGTTAATGCATCCACAAAAGTGTCTTCATTTTTTCTTATGTATGGAGCTCATCCGATAACTCCTTCAAGTTTGATGAGACTTCCCAAAGGAGAGGAGTTTTCGACCAAAGTTGCAGCAGTCAACGAATTCGTGGAGCATATTCACCGAGGACTACATCAGGCCAAGGAGAAGTTGGTGATAGCTCAAAATCGGCAAAAGCAGCATGCCGATGCTCATCGTAGAGAAGTGATTTTTGAGGTTGGAGATCATGTTTGGCTATCTACAACGAATTTGTCTCTTGTAGGAACACCAAAGTTAAACCCTAGGTTCATTGGTCCATTTTTGGTTTTGAAGCGTGTTGGTGAAGTGTCATACAAGTTGGAACTTCCGTCACATATGAAAATACATCCAGTATTTCATGTGTCACGATTGCGAAAACATGTATCACGACCAAAACAATTCACCAACCAACCAGCACCACCTCCTCTTCCAACCTTGATAGCAGATCATGAGGAGTTTGAGGTAGAAAAGATACTCAAGAAACGAATTCGAGGTCATAAATATCCCAAAGTAGAGTATTTGATTGATTTGATATGATATTTGATTCAATGAAAAGGCTATCCATTGTATGAATCAACTTGGAAACCAGCTAAAAATTTAGCAAATGCACCTTTGATAGTTCAGGAGTTTGAACGTATGTGCAACGAGTACGTTGCATCTTAAAAGGAGGGAGGTTTGTAACCATCTTTAGTTAGTTAGAACTAAAGTAGATGTTACTCTGAATATGGATGTAGATACTTTAGTGTGCACTAGTCATAGCTGCCACATCAGCGATCCGCGCACTTGGTAGGTACAGAGTGGATGTGTTAGTTGACAGTGCCACGTCAGCAATCCGTGTGCTTGTAGGTAAGGATTGAGTGTGTTAGTTAGTGTGTTAGTTGGGTGCGCCACGTCAGCAATCTGTGTGCTTGTTAGGGTTATCCGCCACGTCATCCATCCACTATGAGTGGGATGGATGGTGGGGATTAGATCTTATCACTTTGTACTTGTTGGTGAGAGCTATATAAGGGAGAGGAGAACCATTGTTGGTATCTCTCATCTTCAGAGTTTACGTTTCTATCTTCGAGTGAACTTCTCTCTAAACCCTAGTGTTACAATCTACTACTCAAACTTCATCTTTTCAAAAAAAAATGAAAAACCACGTTACCACAGAGTTGGCATAATAGGGAGATTGGCACAATCTATGCTGTTAATTTCATATATAAAACATGTTTTCAAGATTAGGATAATGACCAACATAGTATCAAAAAATCTTCTTTTTAATTTTATCACACATGAAAGCATATGGCTTCATAAATTCTTGCCGTTTTTTTATCACATGCTTGATTTCTCTTTCACTCACATATTATGCACGCGCTAAAGATCTTTCAATATGATCATTTGTCTTACTCAGCTTCTCAATGATTTCACATCGCTAGAACTCGTTGAGCCGTTTATAGATCAGTTTCTTCCAAATTGTAACTTTGACAACAATTTTCTTGCTTGCTTGATGCAAGCATAAGTGACTGTGAAAGACCTTGAAAGAAAAGAAAATCAATTCTCACTAGCGCTTGATGATCTCATGCAACTCTCCGAGTATCGACCTCTGCGCTGGTTACCGAACTGTGATTAGTCAGGACACAAACCTCCGCATTGATTACCAAACTGTGATCAATTATGACAAACCAATCTCTTGAATTCCTCTTCGCCCTCTTATCGTGAACGGAGCTGCAAGATGTGAATGGACCTCACATGAGAAAAGACCATCATTTTCACCATTACATGCAAGCGACGATTTCTGAGCAGGAAATTGACTTGTCACTACCTCGAAACAGAAGTGCATGGTAACAATAATTAAGAGTGGCAAATGAATCTGTCAACTCTCTTACATTCGAATTAAACGATAAACTTATGTGCAACAAAATGTGACAAACGGTGAGAAGTAAAGACACTTATGTTCAGTTCAAGAGTTCATTGGTTAAGTTTGGTAGTTTAGTGAGTTTACATGTGTTTGTGTTAAGTACGGATATCCATTTTGCGATAGTAGAATTGTTCATCTCCTGTCGTAAATTCATGTCTCTTACGACGAGGATACATGGACATGCCTTTGAGATTGTGCTACCAACCCTAGAGCCAATGCTTCATACACTCATTTAGGTGTTGTTATTATGAAGGGGCAGACTAGGGCCACACCCGTTTTTTGCTACGGCCACACCCGCTACATACAAACAACTGATTGCGCGTCAAAGCAAGCCTCCCCTCAAACCCAACTGCTAAACCGAGCTCGTCCGCTAGGCAGAGGAGAGCGTAGTCGAGAGGCTTCGAAGGGCACGGGGCCGCTGCGGCCGTGGCTGTCTCCCGCGTTGCTGGGGCTTGGGCAGTAGCAGTGTGCTTGGGTTGTAACAGAAGTGCGCTTGGGTAGTAGCAAAAGCGGGCATGTGCATGGTAATTAGTGGGCGGGTGTGGCCGTAGCAAAAGCGGGTGTGGCTGTAGCAAAAACGAGTGTGGCCCTAGTGTGGCCCTATTATGAATTGTTAAAAATCATTTGTGAGTTATGAGGTGTGAATTTTGAAATCAGAGTGTTGTAATTCATCTGAGTTTAATAATTCTTACAACCTTTGCTCCATACATTGAATATTCATGGTCATGATGTATTATTTGAAACTGTGTCTTGTGCAAATTAATGAATGATCATCTCCGCAATTACAACTAATATATCGAACCAAAAGCCAAGTACACACAAGTACCAGTGAATTTATAGATTTTTTTGGAATCAATATATACCTTTCTATCATACTAGCAAATAAAAGTACTAATCTTAACTAAAATGATGATTGATGAACATGCTATACTACAGGATTGATATGATGTTCAAATATGGTAATTATAAAGCTGAAATTGTTGTGATTATATTATTTGATGGTCATGATTGATATGAAACCATTTTTTTCCAAAAATTTAATTTATGAAGGTAAAAATAAAGGATGATTTGGAATTAAAATCTGATTATGTTTTATAAATTTCAATTTTCACTAGAATATTCAGATTTTTATTTTCTTTTCACTTATGATAGATAATAGATGCTTAATTTTATAATGAACCAAAATATTATTTTGATTGGAAAGAAAGCATACACATTTGATAAGCATGAATGCTTGTGCAGTAAATCATTGTAATACATATATATTGTTTTGTATTTTCAATGATGCTTAAAAAAAATGAAGTCATCTTCTAATTTTAGAGTAACTAGAAAAATAAATATTAATTTAATAAAAAATTTTAAATAAATGAATATAGTGCAATTTAGAAGAAAAATCTATCTTGCACAATAATGACTTATATGCTTCTTTAGACTCATTATCGGAAAAGTTAAAAGTAGTACTTAACATATATTAGTCTACATGTCAGAGAAGGTTTGGTTATTTCAGAGTTGTTGAAGGTTTAGTCGATGATTTGAAGAATGCCACCCAACAAGTTTACCTATCTGAATTCCACGCCATCAACACATTGTCAAAAATCTGATTAGTTTATCAAACACAGATGACACAATTGTTTTCTAAATTATTACATCCTTAAATGTTTTCTTCTCTACTATCACCGAGAAACGATACACCCAATCCAAAACTATTCAAAACTTCAATCCAAATTCATTGCGCGGAGAAGAGGATGCCGTTTACTCCAATACCCTGATTAGAAGCAGTACCGAGCAGACCAAACAATGTCATGTGTGACTGCATCCAAATAAAAACTATCACCGTGAATCTAAAAGCATAAAAGTGCGCTAAATACGTGAATTATGGTGTTACCACATTAATAATGTTGGAAAAGCTTCGTTGAGAACAGAGGAAGTAGAGCGTAGTTACCGGAATTACCGGAATTACCGGTCGATGGTCCGTCCGTGAGCGAGCGAGCGACGAGAGATTTGGCGCAGAGCAGAGCAGAGTACGAGAATGTAGGGATCGAGGCATCGATCGATCTGACCTAAGCCTCGTCGCTCCAGAGCGCCGGAAAGCGCACGAGAATGTAGGCCCTGCTGTCCAGACAGAGCCAGAGCTGGCTTGCGTCGCAGAAGCGCTTTCGGGGCTCTCGGGCCAGTGTTGTTGGCGCCGGGTCGAGCGAGGGATCGAGGACAGAGGAATTCGAAGAAGGCGCGTTCCGAACGCAGAGGATTTCGTGGGGTTTTGGTGGGGATGGTTTCCTGGACCTGGACCTGGAAACTTGGGGTTTTTGAGGCCATCGGACAATGATCCAGGGTGCCGAGAGTGCATCACCATGGGACGAGGTGTTGGTGGTTGTGGCCCGTGGCGGCGTTTGCACGAACTCGGAGACAGGGTTCTGTCCGCGTGTGGCCAGGGTAGTGAGTCTGCTCGGGGTTTTAGTCGGAAATCCGGGGATGCTGCGGTCCTGATTCGAGGCCTTAGTTCTTCCTGTCTGCAGCCGTCCTCTGTGGCAGGCGTGAAAGTTGACCTGGGAAAGGTTATTTCCATTCATGTTCCGGTTGTCCCCAAGACTTCATGTTCCCGTAATTGCTTTACAACTTTGGCTCATCCGCAACATCTGGTTTTTGAAGATTCAGTTCGAGGCTTGACGAAAGATTTTATCGGAAATGGGAGTTCTCAAGGAAATTGGAGTTTGGAAATTTGGTCCAATTCGAAGAGGCGATCGAGCGGCCATCTCGTCCGGTGTATTGTGCGTCCCATGTCTAGTGTTTGCCACCCTCCAAATGAGCAGCTCCCGATCGTGGAACAGGAACCCTTCCCAGTCTTTTCTTCTCAAAAATTCACACAAAGTGCCTCACGAATGGTTTCAAGCGGAAACTTTCGAAGAGAGTCAGGGTTTGATATGGGCACTGCGTCGCGGTCACAGAAATTACCGGTGACCTCTGCATTCGAGTCGTTCAGGAGTAATGCTCCGCTGGGCTTGAAAATGGTGGAAGCTACGGCAACTAGTTCGTCATTGGCAGGGGCAGGAGAAGCAGTTGATTGGCAGCATCAGCGGATTCGGGTGAGAGAGTACGACTCTCGTGACAATCGGCCCAGAACTCATCAGCCCTCTTCTCCTACGGATGCTGAGCCCGATGATATATTTATTCCTGTCAAAGCGTTCTATATCTCTCGAAGGTAAATTCACGAGGCAGATATTAGCCCCGAATTATTCGATTGGATGCTCAAGTCTGAGTTTTGAATGGAATTGTTTTACTTGCAGACATTAGTTAGTCATTGTAAGTAATATATCAGAGCTCCAAGTATACTTCTTGGCACAGACGATACAAATACATGCAAAACGGTGGAAATACTTTTGGACCAATTGACAGGTTTTCTCTCGGAGAGATTATTTGACTATCTCATATATTCTTTAGTGAAAGACAATATCTTTACTGTGCGTCTCGAAGAATTTGACATTCTGATCGATACATGGAAAACTTTGGGTTTTGGATTTGATTCTTCCTAATCTTATTGCCCTTGCTCATATGTCTGAAAATTGTGCAGCGTGGACTTAAAGGCCTTGGCGAGAGAGCCTTTCTCAGAAGTCACCACTAGTCGGAACAATCTTATTATTCGATGCGCAGATCGTCCTCCTCACTCTCCTGTCACCGCCGACAATCCTGTACATTTCGTACCCCTTTGCTATACCAGAAGCTTTTAGACATTCATAATTCAGATGCAGTTATGGTCAGTCACTGAGATTCGAACAAATCGTGTCCATCCACTGTTCTTTGAAAAATTAAAGAAAAAATCAAGCCTGAGTACATTGTGCTCATGTTGTTATTGGACTCATTGTACGCTGTAATAATAATTCGATTTTGTGTATGTCGTGCTTTGGTTTAAAAATTCGTGATATATTGTCTGTGTTTGGTGTCGGTGTTCGTCCGAATAGGGTTTTAGAAAATGCTGGCCTGTGCTGCAGTTCCACCCTGGCTTATCATTACAGTGTTCCTGCATGTCAAGATATATATTCTACATTTTTTGTTTCCACGGGACTCCTCCCATTTTGTATGTAACACCTTGCTACCTACTAAGTGTTTGTTGTGCTGTATAACAGGAAATGGCTTGTCTTGGTTTCTTGAAAGAACGGTACATGGTTGCGTTCCAATATGGATCGGTCGTTTTCTTCAACTTCGGCGACCACGAAGAAGTGGAGTCTTTGGATATTGTCAGAAAATACTGCAGTGACGAGTTCAGGGAAACAAGGAAAGATGGTACGTTGAACTGCTCCAGTAAAACTCTAGCTCGACAGGTTGCTAACGATGAACACATTTTAGTTAAGTAGCTAACATATTCACATAAAAGAGAAGGCAAACTTGTACTATGTTAGTGTCATCTCAAGTTTGTTTCATGGAAGCGGAATCATATAGGCCTTGTGGGTCATGAAACAATCCCTTTTGCCATACTTTAAACCTAACCGAAAATTCTTCGGTTCAATGTTACATCCCATGGACGTTGAACTGACTTCATTCTTGCCAGAATGGATTGGTGCGTATGTGACTGCCTGGATTTCTGCTTCACGAAGTCGCTATAACCCTGAAAGCTGTGATAAGCGGCTCTGGCCCGCCTGTGAAGAAAAGACTCAAGTATCTGAGTAAGCCACAGTGTTGTTCATGAATGTTTGAAGAGACCTTTCTTTTGCCGAGTGCGAATCATTACAACAGCCAGGAGAAATGCCAACCAACACATTATAAGTGAAGAAACAGTGGGATAATGAATTTGGTCCGTCTCAATGAAGGAAAGTTAACCTCTATGGTGCTAGGATGTTTACTGTGACAAGTCTGTACGTGAAAGGAATATTTTTCTTGTTTATCACAGAACCGACTTAGATGCCACTGGCTGTAATCAAAGTACATCACAAATCGGAGTGGGAAGCAAATTGGTCGTTAATTGTGTTACCGCACGTGCTATCTTGATTGGGTCTCTGCAGACTACGGTGTGCTCGTCAGGCCTACTCTGCCCGAATGGAGCGAGGGTGGACATGATCGGGTTATGCTGAGGAAACTGGATATAGATAACATTCGAGTTATCTCCAGTATTCTTGGGCAAAGTATTGCTTTGGATCACTACGCCAAAAAGGTAATACATTATCGAAATTCATTTTCTTTCATGTCCTTAAAACAGTATCACTTTGACGTGGCTCTTCGGATGCTCAGCGGGAGACGTGTCCTTCTGGAGTTTCGGTTTGACATGTCTGGTTGTGGCAAATAACGATAACGATAATTGTCCATTTTGTAGGTCGATGAGATGGTAACAACCTTCAGTGAGTTGAATCGAGGGATGGAGCAAACGGGGACCTTTACCATGACTCGCAAGAGCCTGTTCCAGTTGGTTGCTGCTGCCAACACAACTCTGGCGGATGTCATTCTGCGTTTAGGTCTTCTAGAAAGGTACAGGCTTTCAGCAGGGAGCAAATGTCTTTGACTCTCGCGATCTATGTCATCATACTCAATTGCTTCATGTTGCAGGTCAGATGCAGCATGGAAGGATGCAAATTATGCACAGATCTGGGAGTACATGCGTGACGATTTCGAGCTCGATGAGCGTTTTGAGAGTTTAGACTTCAAATTGAATATTATTCAGGTACTTATTCAAAATAACGCTGGTTTGCTTTTGTACAACATTTCGACTTATTACACAATATTTTTTAGTATCTGCCTTTTATACCCTGAATGCTGTATACGGTCGCCATGCTTGTAAAAGAGTAGGGAAGTATCGAGGGGATGAAGCATGAGGAAAGATAGGACTGTCTGGGAGTGTAGTAACTGATGTGCAAGTGTGAACTGAATGAAGACTATATAACCTAAAATGCTAGCATAATTTCATGATCATTTTCCTTTAGCTGACGGGAGCCAATCTTCAATATGGTGTCAATACATTGTAACCTGTATCATGTAGTGTATATTCCTCCCTGAGACTGTCGGCACTACAGAGCTCTGGGTCTAGGTTTCAGGCAACCAGTTGCTAAATAGTACAGTTTTGTAGTTAATGTCAGATATCAAGGTCTGATGACTGTGTTTGTTGTTGTGCAGCATAATGTTAGGTTTTTCTTAGAGATTCTTCAGAACAGAAAGTCCGATACTTTGGAATGGATTATTATTCTTCTTATTACTGGTGAGATTTGCGTCTCCCTATACGACATTCTTCATACAGCTGGAGCAATCTAGCGATTTTTTACAAAGAGTATTCAAATTCTCATCGCTGGTGAGAGATTTTTGCCCTCCGCCGTCCTAAGCTTACGGCCAAAGCATTGTGATGAGGATAGAGAAAAGCGTAGGTCATGAGTAGACATTGCCAGGAACAAATTTTGACAGGGTTATGCCAAAATTCCTACTTTTTGAGGTCACTGAGATCTATTTATAGATATACATGTGGGAAGCTTAATGCCTTTTCCCTTGTCTAAGTCTAATATCTAAAGATGAAGACAGATGAGGCTAGAAAGTATACTCAGCTTCGCATAATTATTTGGAAACTTGTCATTGCAACCATGGATCCATCCATCCATCCAAATAAAGAAAAAGAAACAGCCTGGTGTTTGAAGCGTGACTGTTTGTGAACTTTTGAGTTCCGGATGCTGTCTCCCTTTCGTGGCTGGGGCTACAACTTCGGACAAAACTTTCTTTAAGGAAACGGGAAGTAGATCGTTCCGGAAACACGAACTGACCTCACAATTCACCAGTTCGCACATGTTTGTACTTAAGTCACCTTCGAGTACAGATCTCTTGTGTGCATGTCCATATTGGCTAATGTGTGCATCTAGTCGATTATCTCGTCGAAAACCCCGAAGTGTACTGCAGCATAGTCGGTTGGTCAAGATTTCTCTTAGTTCACGGTCTTTCCATGAGTTTCACGGGCCGTATCTGAATGCCATGGAACGTTATCTCACTCACACGCAATCTTCTTGTCGAGGCTAGACAGAGCAATGGCGAATGCCTGCCATGAAAATGAATTGTGTAAGGACGCCACATGTCGAAAAATGCCAGCTTAGTGCAGTTATGGAAGTAAATGTAAGTGTACTTTCTCCCGGTATATCATGAAGTTACCTGCAAAGCAGACATGGGATACTTGTAGTCCATGTTGTAAGCATCCTTTCCGACCTGCAAAGAGGAATGTTACTCAACCACGATGCCATTCTTCTTTTATATGTTTGTTATTCATTTGGTACTTGATAGAGCAGTGGTTACCGTACCTTTCCAAACTGCAAAATTATGTTTCCTGGATCTTCATCTTTTGTGAGCTGCGTCAATAAAGCGATTGTGAGTATTGTATGCTCTAAATGTACAATAAGAGTGTTTTTTTGGATATATTTAATATTCGTTAACCAGGAATCAGTTTCATGGCTTTGCCAGTATTCAATTGCAACTTTTCCAACTATGTAGGTATAAGAGAATGAACCTGAAAGTTTTTAACAGATGGCCTACTCACTCGACCATTAAAGTTGAGGGCATAGCACATTTTCTGCCAGAAATCCACAACAATAGGTCAATTTTTAATCAGAATTTTTAAAGTGGAAAGATAGCTCACAGTGAGAAGAAGTGCCTGGGGAGAGTCATAAGCAATGAAACAAATGGGAAGAGCTTGTATGAACTGAAGCTCGTGCTGAGTTCAGTCCAACTCTTAATCTCATTCATCTAACGTTCAGGCTACGTTTGTATTCGAATATCATAGAATGCGCGAGATCACGAGCACACAAGGAATACCTTATTGTTCCATGCAGGGTCTTTGTTGCGCATTATGACCATCTTGTGTAGATCTTGCCCGCATTTATATTTCGTCAACAAGGAGTGTGAACCTGCTGGTCCTGGCTCGTGAATGTAAGGCTTCTTTTCAATAGTCAGAGCAGGTATAATTGCTATCATTTTCCGAGGTCCTTGGAGTCCGAGCGGGTTATTCTGGTAAGTGACAGCACCTAACTCCACCCTTCTACTATGGCTGCAATGTTACGGACGTAGTACAACCTTAGTATTTGCAGCTAGATTGCCAAGTGGAAAGAAAGATAGAAAGCTGTATCTTCTGCGCATGAATCAAGCTCACCACTTCTGTCACTCATATTATATCAGAAGACCATCAATGGCCTGTACCTGGAACTATATCGGCTCACTCAGTTTTGAATTTACCTTGCTTCTGATCTTCCTAACTTCGGCCGAGCGCCCTTGTCATAGAACCAGAATTCAGTCCCAAAGAAGTTCGAACGCAGCTGCAAACATGAGGGAAGACCAACACTCCTCTTGTTTCAGATTTTCTGGTTTACACGTATCTTTTGGAATGCGATACTGCATCTCCCTAAGCAACAAGTACTGAACTTTTCCCCGAAGAGAAATGGAAGGACGTGATGAATGGCCATAACCTTTCCAAAGTAGTTGCCAGTTCTCCGGGAGATGTCATCTGCATCGAGCGACATTATGTAGTTGCTGCTCATGCTTTTCTTCCGTTTCCTTGCAGACAAAATGAAGTGCATTTGGTTTCCTTCTTGCAGATACATTTTGAACCTGCGTTCGAGCCCAATGACTTAGATGGAGATTCCAAGTAATATGTGCACTACTTGGTGCACTAATTTGGTCATGCGTATCCATGAGATCAGTATTTTCTCGCGAAATTTACGCACTTTACTGAACCTATTGCTCCATTGCATCTCTTCAGAAACGATAGATCTAACTGAATGAATGCTGTTAATAAGGTTACCACTTCTAATAGCGTTCTAAAACAAGAGATATAAAGGCTGCAGGGCAGGTACCTAGGAAATATCCAATCGGCCTTGTATTGACGTTGAACAAAACACTGAATGGGAGCACATCCTTCGGGCGCAGGACGACCAAGGAAAGAACGTACATCACTAATATCTGTGATTGCCTTGGGGGGTGGCTGCGTTGCCCAAATTTCAGGCTGGTAAACCGGAGTCATGCCATGTTCTAACAACTGCAACTCCAGGTCCTGCATTTTAAGACCATTTTTTCACCAAACTCACTGTTTCTAATGACCTTCTTTGATAACAGTAACAGGTGAAACACCGTTCAACTTCATGGAAACCGAAAATCTTAAAATGTCGACCAGGCAAAGACAATATAGTGTACTATTCCTATGTTGGCGGTCATTCACTAGATTATGTGTGACTCTCTGTTGTTGCATGATTCAATTCTGGCTAGGTTCCTCAATCAAGCCTTCGATCGCAACTTCGTGGAAGATTGCTCACCCGTGCAGATACTGATCTGCCAGACCTGCACACTCGTCTCTCCGTATTATATGATTGCTGTATTCTTTTTGTGAAGTTGTTTACTCTCTCCTTGATGATATATCCAACAGAACAGTTGCTCGCATCCCGTGGAGTCATGAGCCTAGGGGTCCCCATTTGTGGAGTTCCGAAGTTGGCCTTTAACGCCTCAACAGAAGTTTGCTGCAACAGTCAATAGACACCAACAGACCCCAGGAAGTAAGTTGATAGAGGTCATCCTGAGTGCACATGTACGGGAATCGATTTTGATCGAGGAGAACATGCTCAATAACAGATGGTCAACAGATCATTTGTTCTTCTAGTGTTATCTTTTGTTCCCTGTTGTGGTTCCCTATCCTTTCAAGCCTGTCAACTTTGGAGGTCATAACATTCCTTGACCTTTTTCAGGACACATGTTTCTAAAGTTGTTTGGGATCAACGTGCATGTGTCAATAGGTCTTATTAGAAATTGCAATAATTTTAGAGCATAAGCACGCACCCTCGGAGTCGATTTTACAGAATATCGGCTGCGTAGACTGTCAGGGTGAGGATCAACCTCCCCAATCCTCCTCATCGCCACATCATGGGACGAGGCGAAACTTCGGTCTCCCCTGCAACGCAAGCCTCAACTCTCAGATCCTGGTTCCTAGGGATTGCATCTATAAGTTTTTCAGTACACTAGATTTGCTCAGGAGATGAAGAAAGATTTGAAGAATACGCTGATGGCTTCGAAACTGCGGCCTCATGTCTGAAAGTAATCCCTCAAAATGCCACTTACCCGTCAAACGAAAAAGAAGATTGTTTAATTGAGTTCGAGCTCGCGGATCGAGGTAGGTTTGGCCTCGGGGTAAAGAAATCGTTGCTTGCAACCAATCCTGTATAATCAAATCACATTCAACTTAATTTCTTTCTGGTCAATCTCCAGTGTCAGATAATACACAAAACAGAAGAATGTGGCCTTGATCGATGAAACATTCTTTGTCAGCTGCAAGCGACTAGTGACATGGAGTGTTGATGATATTGCGCGTCATGAGAACCCAATGTTATGAGTGAACATAGCCTAGGAACTTCTTTGAAATTCTTATTTATAGCTTTAGTGGCATGCTACTGAGATTGTGATCTCACCGCCCACAGCTCGATCTTTCTTATTGATTGACGAACTGAGGAAACATTCCAAGGGCTTGATATCATCATCCTGAACAAACGAACTAGTAATCAAGGGACTGGTTATCCACCAGAATCCTCAAAATTAACAGCTTCAGAAAAAATCGCCTCTCTGAAATTGAAGCAAAAGGAAGAACAGAAATTGCTCGGTCTTTACATGTGCCTTTGTTGGAAGAACTGCTTCTGGGTTATCTTTGCTACTACCTACAGATTCTCCTGCCTGAGATTCGGGACCATCGGACTCATAGGCATCTGCCAGTAGCCACAACACATAGTTATTTATCCTTTTGTCTTCGGACCCTACTGTATGTGTGCTTATAGTGGAATGTTCACTTTTAATTGCTGAAATGAACGAAGCAATATGCTGTAGAGGTAGCGACATCGTCATCCCGGAGCTTACAAATTCACAATATTCACCTAGTTACTGGCCATCTTACAAACTCGTCAACATAATCTAGAGGCATGGCTAAAGTAATCAGAACTAGAGACTCTCAAACTTTCTTATGACAGCAGATAGATCTTTTAGTAATTCACTAGTGGCTTGGAATGACGTGAAAGAGGTCTCCGATCATTCTCACATTGCCGATACGCCAAGTCATTTGTCCCAGTGAATTCGTAAAAATTTAGTTTGCTCAGAAATTCAAGATTTTTGATTATAGAGGAAAAAATAGAAGTGCCTTCTGGCAGATGTTCAAGAATACGCAAGGTCAATTCACCAGAATCCTCGTCTTCGGAGGTTGATGAAGACGTTGAAGCCGACATCAACTTCAAGTTGGATGCTGGCTTCATAGAAGAGGTGCAACTCTGCTCCACTTGTTTAACTTCCTGCCGAAGCCCTTCCAAGTTCAATTTCGGAGTCATTCTTGGGTAACTTGACTGGGACATGGTTTGCGCTGATCGCTCTTGTTTGGATCAGGCCTTTAGATGAACACCGGCAAAACAGGACACAACGAATTTCGTCCCTCCTCCTTCAGTGTCAAAGACGGCTTTGCTTGCTGATCTATCCAAGAAAAGTCTTTCCTCTAACTCAATAAGCATCGAACGCAGCATGAATCACGATGATCATATTGACGCCAATTCGAGCGATTATGAGCATGTTTATCAGCCTTCGGACTAAACGTCAGCCTCAACGTGGATTCTTCTATAAATTTCCAAAAATCCTGTTGACAATCGAATTCTTGAAATTGGATCGTGTCACCAAGCTACAGGGAGAGCGCAATCACCTTCAGTAATCTAGTTTTGCAGGCCGAACTGAGTTTCATTTAATGGTAACGAGGTACAACCAAACGGTTACGATTAAGGCCCGGATACAGAGCAACAAGCGAGTTCAAATTCGCGGGAACGGAAAATAACAAAGTCCCGAAGGTCTTTTCACGTTCTGAACCCCACACCACTCACACCTTCAGCGTCATTTGCATGCTTTAGAGACATGCTAAAATGCGAAAACGTTCGGCACAGCACAGCTGTTTCATCTATTCTCCTGACAAGCACAGCATTCATGAAGCCAGAATTTTTCTGTCCAGGAGAATACATGAACCTTCCATTAAATATACATATTTGCTTTTAATAAGTCTGAAAATGTACAGAAGTTGAATAAAAGACACAGTTAATATCTGGCATTTTGTTTCGGGCGGACTTGCGGTTCTGGGCAACACTGTCCTTGACGGGTCACTTCACCTAGGAGGAGCTGGCATATAGTCTGTGCACGTACACTAAGGCGTGCACACGGAAATCGACTCAACTGAATGAAGTCGGCACATCTCTGCTGAACGTTTATATCATGAGGTTGAAGGAGATGATCCTCATATTTGATACATGAACAGCTATTGCCATCTGAGAAGAAGGAAGTAATCACAAGGCATAGTTGTTCACGCCACGGACAATTTTCGATGCCTTCGCCGTCACTGCGATGACGGCGAACGTATCCTTCTGCCGCTGAGCTAGAATAAAAAGAAATGCACAACCCCCTACAGGCAAGAAACTTCCTCCTAAACATGTCGCGCAAACGGCTATACAATAAATTTAATGAAGAGGTTACGATCAAATTACAGTTGTTAGGTAGTACATGAAATTAATTTGCTAATGAACGAAGATCCGTGTCCTCGTCACAGATCTTCTGAATTGAGATAATTTACGACGCGAAAACATGAGCGGACGGCCCCCCTTTCTGAATGACAAAGCATGCAGATGAGAGAAATTGAAATTGAAACACAGCATTCATTTGAAACGAAGTCTCTTTTATAATCGGAAGACTCACCACTCAGTTGCACCCCATCATTCTGCGAGGTCCCAGTCATGCACTCGATCTGCACCAGCTGAACCCGCCGGACCCGACACAGGAAATACAAGAAGACGACGACGGCGACATACAAACTCCAAGAAGTGCACTCGTGCCCTTGCTCTCGGAGAAGAACCGACGATCTCAATCTTTGCAGCAGCTCTGAGAAATGAAAGTGCCGATTCGAAGTCCGTTCAATTGGAACTTCCCGCGGCGCCCAACGCCCCGCAACGTACATGAGCAGCTGAGGCGCCACTGCCGCTCAGGTACATCTTGATTTTCCGTTGAGGAGAGGTCCGCTGCACATTCCGTGACTCGCACTGCGCAGAGAAGTGGGCCGTGCTCCTGCGCCGTGGTGCTCTGATACCGAGTTGTGATCGGCCACATGGACGGGACTGCAGTCCTCGGGAGGGACTACATAGGTTGATTTGCTTTTTCGGGAAGCTAATGTACATGAGAGCCGACGAACACCTACTGCTTAAAGAGTTAACTTGTACATCATTTCCATCTTTCTTATTCACATGTGTAAGGGGTGGCCAAGTAGAGAAAAATGGTAAGATGGCCACGATCAAGCATTACAAGAAAGAAACCAAAAATTCAACCAGCCCTGGCCCCAATAGTATCATAATTGAAATTATGGGGTGCATTATTCAATTTACTTTGACTATGAAAGTAAAGCAGTCAATAACCCACACGAGGAAATAGTTCATTGCTCTTTGTTCATTGTTTTTATATATATATGATAAAAATACATCAAGCCATACAAGGATGAAGTGAATATAATTACTAGTAGAAACACTTAGATAGAGATATATGTCACTACGATTTGTAATGTTTATGGCTGGATACTATCAGAGTCAGTTTGATTACTGTCTAGGATGTATACTTCCCATGAAAGTATCGCTGGAATGTCTTAAAAAATCAGAGTAGAGCAGATCTATACTTCCAATAGGATAGCCATGTTTTTTCATTGATGTATATTCATCATCCCGAAGATGGATTCAAGTGAAGCAACAACCCAGGACTTCACTGGTAACTCTAACTAACCTACCACTATATGTTAGATAGAGATACCATTGTTTGCCTCTTTAGAGACTTTGATACACACAAGCAACTTTAAGATAGAGATTGGCTTTGTGTAGGCGTTAACGTGACAAAAAATTACTCAAACATGTGTAATCAACATGGAAACAGTATAAGATTAATGTAGTAAATAAGGACTAGTGGTCTAAGTTCAGATGCTTTTATTATCTTGGAGGTGAAACATCATCTTGATGCAATCAATTTGCAAGCTACATGATCCCTGCCTCGATTTTAGAAATCAAATAAAACATGCACGATTAATTACTAATAATCTTCTGCCTTCTGCTTACGTAATAAAACTGAGCACTCTAGAATAAATTTACTAATGATGTATCAAAAGATATGCTCCGCGATTCAGATTTATTCGATTCCAGAGAGTTATCCTTTAGGAAATCCGCTCGCAATTATAGGCAGTTTCTTCCCGAGGTCAAAACGCTCCCCTGTGCTAGATATCGGCATTGTGGCCTTCACAAAAAGGAATATGAGCTGGCCAGTCTCCACTAGTCAAAAGTTCGTCACACTCCACATCGCCGAATGTTACTTTGTAATCTTTCCATCTCAGTATAATGTTTGTAAAGGCGATCCACTCTTGTATGCGGCCTGATTTTGTTTTCCGATATCTTCCAAACAAACCCTCAGCACTTAAAAGGGAAAGTTCAACTACATCAGATTTCAAAACCTCCTGCATCAGACTAGCCATGTGCCCCAAAACTAGCAGTCTGTTTTCTATCCAGCGACAGCTTGGTATATAGCTGACTTCTTCGAGTGTTAACACTGTGCGCGACCCCTCCTTGAATAAGTGTAACTGGACTAGTGTACGCCCATCCAATTGCTCAGTAGCTTCAATGCTTGTTACTCGGGAGCCCACAAGGGCTTGAATATGCTCATCCATTGGCTTTTGCGCTCAAGTGTTTTCCACCCTATCATATTTGTTACGAACGGTCAATAATGACAAAGTATCGCCAGTCTCTAAATGCTCAACACTCAGAACTTACACCTTACGTGAAACACTTCAGATATACCACATTGGATTGGACTTTAATCACAGGAAATAAAGAAACGCAACAAGCGGTAGTTCGTGACCACGATTCAAAGAACTGTTTCCGAATCGAATCACTGAGTGAAGTCAACTAAATATTGTATTCATCGCAGAACGATTTTTATCCACGTGCGGATTGAAACGATTCAGATCAGAGCGTAACCTCAGCAATATCAGTCAACATGGTTTCAATTATATGGTAGGAATCGACGTGAGTTTACTTTCTTCTATCTATAGGCCTGCTGTTTCTCAAACCTAGAGCTGCGCATCCAGGTAACAATCTGATCAATCGGTACAGCAAGAAAGGTTCAAGAAGCTGCTTTATCAGCATATCAGATCGTAACAATGAAAATTTGACAACATATTCTCCTAAAACTAGTCGAAGGTTGTGAAGATTTTGACACGGACAGATCAGTGAAGTCGCAAAAGAGGCCGTGGACACTAAGAGCTTAAAGAGTGTAATTTTCGAACAATGAAAAGAAGATTCCAAAGAAACTGGGATCTCTTGATTACGTACTAGAATCAGTCGTTCCAAGCGTACATGAAGCTAAGTGAATCTCTCTTCACTACCAGGAGTGGAAATTAAGCAGGTATAGAGAGCTAGGAAAGAATCAAACGCATTTTCATGGTCGGCTAAATTTGCAAATCAAATGTTTGAAAAGTTTGAAGTTACCTTGATAGATTTTTCAGGTTCTTTGCGGTTCCCAGGTGATAAACTTTCACGAACTGAAAGCAACGCGCTTGCTATGCAATTTTGTTTCCCACTTAAAGTTTCCCTCCGAAAGCAGATTGTCAGTCATGTCGAGGAGAAAGCATAAGCGCATCTACTTGCTCCTCGTTCTCTCCGGCAGAAACAAAAGCCTCATCTTTTTCGTCGAAAGCTTAAGGTTTGCAACCAATTCTCATCAGCTCAGACTACATTCGGAAGAACTTCAGAAGAATACACAAGTACGACTCGTCAGCCTGACGAATTCTTTCTCTTTGATCTGCTAATTTCTAAGCTCAATCTATCGTCAGTGGCACCAGGGCTGCCATAAGATTCCGACATCACTCCTGTTTGAAGGTCCGGTACTCAAGCTCTCCAATCTGCACTCCCCAGATTGAATTTCCACTGCGTGTAAAACAAATTTCCTCAAATTTTCAAACAAGCCACTCCTCCCATCGGCTACCAGAGCCATCCCGATCTCTCTGTGCATGTCATTGAGCTGGCTTTGCTTCTCTCGCCGTTGTGCACCATCAGTTCTTTTATGGCACTGCTTTCATTTCTCTCCCCTCGCCGTCATCCGTTAGCGTCTGGACGGTAGAATATGGAAGAGCGCTCATTCTTATACACCACTGCGCTTCAATGCTTACACATTGAGCCTACCGCTTCTTGTAAAGACACGCGCGAAAATATAATCAGCCTTCGTACCAGCTGTGCGTTTTTTTCACAAAATATATCTCGAATCAAAATTACTCACGGACAAAATACATATATATTTTTATCTACATAAAAAACAAGATTATTTTCAGAGTCTATTAAATATCACCAGGAGACGGGTATTCTCCCTGGGCCAATGCGTTACAAGGCTCACATTTTTTGAGTCCAGCAGTGCCGTCGCTTGGGGTCAGATACAAATGTGGTAGCCTTAAAACCAGGTAAGAATTATGAGGAACCTGGTTCTTCAGGGCTACCAGTCGCAGCCCGTACCGGCTAAACTGTGTAAGAAAGTGGACATGGTGGCCAGTTAATGCAACGCGGAGCGAGATATCACAACTTCCAGAAAGCATGCAGGCCGTAATTGCAACTCATCGTGGGGGTGGGGGATCTTTCAAGCTGCATAAATGCAGAGCCTGCGAAGTTCTCTAGGAAATTTGGCTCAGTATGTCGATGATGCTGAAGATTTAAGCCGCTAGTACAGTATATGCTGGTGATGGTTTTGACCTGGCTTTGTTTCAAGCGTATATTTTATATGATAAATGTACGTACTTCTCATGTCTAGAAAGACATCAGGCTTGTGGAAGATTCATGAACGATCCCTTCAAGGCCTGGGGAAGTCATGATTTCCAGATGGTGATCCTGCAAAGTTTCAGGGCCAAAAATTTATTTATCATATAGGCATTGTCACTCATTTATTTAGACTACTATTCGAGATGTTTTCAAAAGCGATCTGTGCCCAAAGTCAGATCCTTCCTGCTGACGGCACATTTTTTATTTGATAAAGCTTAGGCGATTTAAATGCCCTCCAGCATAAATTGATTAGTGCAATGCATAAATTGATTTCTGCTTTGCAGGCTTGCTTTCAAGCCCATTTTGGAAGGAGCTGAAATCTCAGTTTGTGTGCGCTTCCGGTGTGACAGATGATGACTCTCAGGAGATCAGATTCAAACCTTTTCATGAAGGCTGGGATTGAGATCTCCAACGAGCTCAAGCCATTTCTTGGGAAGGTTGGGTATTACTTTTCAAGCTATGAAACTGCTTGTGTACGTCCTTCGTAGACGTCCCGACTGGGATCGATTCAGACTTTCATTCATTCAGCGCAACCTTGGTCCATACCTCGGAAACTGTGCTTCCACGCAGAATTCTTGAACAAGTCCTTAGGAGGAAGAGCGAGCATGGTAAAAATATTGCTTCCTTGCAGCGCTGAACTAGGAGCAACTATCCACATATCTCACCGCGCTAAGTTCTACAGAAATTTACGTGTGGTGCTCACATAATCGTTTCTCGTCGGAGATCTTTAACTACACCAGCCTTTGAACGAGGAGTGGTTTTACAGTGCCATTCTCCGCTGGCTATGCAAGTGAATGAATAATATGTTTCACAGTTTGAAGACATCTACTGATTCTTGAAAGACCGACCAAAGACATAAGTCCTTGCAGTAATTTGGTGATCTGCATTGCTGATAATATAGTATAGAAAATTTAAGCCATTATCAGAAAAATGTCAAAGTGACCACACGGTAGAGTACTTCAAGCTTGTCCGAAAGTATCTTACGATGGATTTGTTCTCTCCAACTCAACACCAAGAAACTTATGTTCCGTTGATATATATGGTGACTATGTCGTCAGAAAGAATGCGATGAGCCAGTGGCAGTCATGAAAAGTTCTCGTTAACTGCGCTCAACTTTTAGGAGAAAGCCGTTTTAAAAGGTGACAAAAGCTCAAGAGGTCAATTTTTTTATAAACATGAATCTAGCGTTTTGTGTCAGTGACACCGGTGGAGCTGATGGGTCCTCACTTGCACAAGTTATCAAAACAGAACGAAATACATCGTCGAAAATATCATTTGTGATAGGTCAAATGGCCTACCACCTTCATACACCATACTTCCCCTTCTACTGGAAATTCTCCTCTGGGCAGGAACTAAATTCTGGAGAAGAAGTCCTGGATCCCCTATCAAGCGAATGTTGCTGAAATTTTTGAAGTATGATAAGCTCCAACGATTGACGTACAAGCCAGCACGATAGAGGCTCAATCTGATTTCTGCTTTGTATCAATGCTCAAGATTCAACCAATATTTACTTGTAATACGAAAACCTCGTTGCAGCAAGCTACCTGATATTCCATCAAACGGCCACCAACCAAGGCAGAGGCCACATTGGTATCTTCAATCGAAAGAAACAACACTGCTATCTAAAATCAATGATGTACGTATGCAGTCATGAGTTGCTGAGCTATCTCTGGAAAAGTGTGACATGTTTTGACACTGGGACTGTTATATTACATACTATGTCCCACTGCCATATATTTTGGTTGCCATCTTCCTTATTAAAAACCGAACTGTATCAGATCAGATGAATAGTATTACTGGCCCGTGCATCAACCTTATTTGTCAATCCCAAATGTCAGTAAAGGTTGACTGCTATTGTCATACATTGCGAAGTGTAATCCAACAGCCTCCTCATGATAGTCTTGCATTAACAACATATAAAATGCCTTCTATCATGCTATCACTGTGGCTATAGCTTTCCTGCCAATTGCTCGATTCAAGATTTTGATCCACGGATTCAGCTTGTTTTTTTTTCTTCCCGTCTTCTTGGCTTGCATATGGTTCACAGTTTTTTTCTCTGCATCGGCTTTCTCCTTGTTGCTGCATGTGGATTGATTAACCTGGAGTCGGTGTGATGTGATTGCCTTTCTGGCCTTTATATCAAGATGCTCCTAAATGGGTCTGGTAATTTTGTTCTTCCGTCTTTTGCTGCAGCCGTACGTCCAACTTTCTTCGATGATGGATATATGTAGACCCATTTAGGTTTCAGTCTATCGTTAATATGCTCTCCAGAAAAATATTTTATTCATACCAGAAGCCGCCTGCTTCTTTGGTCTCCAACGTTCAGGCCTTTCCAGATCATTATCGAAACCAATCTCTGCTGTCGATGCCACTTTTGTAGAAGTCTTATGCATTTCACCGAGCTTCTTCTTGAAGTTCACTTTCTCCACGTCAGAAATGGTTGTGTATGTTTCATCCACTCTAAAAACTGGAGGTCTTTTACCCTTGCCAGAGTTTGTTTCTAGTTTTTGTTTCCCTTTCCCTGTATGTTCGTACTTTTTTGAATGTTTGCCAGCTTCAGGCTTATTCTTGTCATAGACACGCTGAGCAGCTTCCTCCGACGTATCACAACTCCTGCGAACTTCGTAGTCAGCATTGTCATCGTCCATTTCATCTTCATCTCTTGAAGATGGAGAAAGTCGTTCGCGAGAAGATGACCTGTTGGCTTTTCCTTCACCACTTTCAGCTGAATGCAAATTGCATGGTTGGAGCATGCCTTCATGGCATGCATGGAGCAATGGAAAATGGAAGAATCCGTCCGCGGTCCAGTGTCGATAAAAAGAATGAGTGAGTCTATTTCTATAAAAAAGAAATTGATTCTCCACCGCCCAAGACGAAGTCCATAGCTAGAATGAGCAAAAGACAAAGTTACGATTCTTGCAGACTATAGCTGCAACAGGCGAGGGGATGTCGAAGAGGCGAACAATGTGAAACAGTTTAGGGAGAAAAGTGAACATATACTGGAGTTCTGTAAAGAAAGAAGTGGGGCTGTTGTTGAACAATTATATAGTCAGAAGGGAGATGGTAAATTGCATGCTTATTATAAGTACATCACGCAATACACCATTTCCCTGAGTTATAGATAACTTTGTCTTTTGAATCGCGATCACGCCTACTAGCTATGGACTTTGTCTTCAGCGTTGGAGAATCCCTTTCTTCTTCCTCCGATGCACGAACAGCCTCACTCTTTCTTTTTTTCAACACTCGAACGCCGACGGAAGCTTCCATCGTCGATTGCATGCAAGAATCACAACTCCCGAAAGTCTCTCGTATGCAGCGATCCCCCGCTGCGTAGACGACAGAGAATCCATCAAACTTTGGCGAGAAGCTTCAGGTCCAAACGCATGTTTGCATTGACAGACCACGCTTGCAGTGTATAGATCATATATCACGTGTGACATATGATACAGTAGTCCTAAACAAACATTAGGCCGCCAGGCGTCATGTGACCGTAAAACAATTTCGGTTACATGGAGTTGAAGCGCGGCCAGAGATATGGACGCATCGAGCTGGATCTGGCGTTGAGTGTCTAACCGAATCACGATGTGCCTGTGACAAGTTGTTGCCTTTCTCTCAGTCCTCCATAGATGGTGATACACAGCGAAGAAAGAACTTTCGCGAAAGCAGTATTGGAGCTGAAACCAAGATTAGGAACCGAAGTCCGCCACGTGAGCTGGAGTACAAGTTGCTAAATTAATGTTAACGGTGGTTACACTGTCTACCTTCCACAGTAATGGGAAACCCTGTCGAGCAATCTGCTATTGATAGTCGAGTGTAGATCTTCCTTCTATTTAGCGTCTGTAACGCAATCGACGAACTAGCCATTCCTTTACTGGCGTTACAAGACCAGCGTAAAATAGTATGATATATATGTAAGAAGAGTTGTTTTATATAAAACATATAATTTTATACTATTAGATACTTACGCCAACAACAAGCGGTGGAGTTTTTTTTTGATGGTTTCTGGATGAGGCCACAGCAGCTGGTTATATATTGAGGTTCTTCGAGCATGACGAGGTAGTCCTCTAATTGCGTTACAATCCTAGGAAAAGATAGTATAGTGCTGTTAGTGAGAAGTCGTGGAGCTCGTTCATTTGGGGTTCATGGGCAAGGCCACGGCTGATGTTAGGACTTGCAGTTTGATCCAATATTCGAGGATGAAGTTGTTGCTCATCATCAGCTGTTTGCTTACTAAGATTTTGGAATCTTGGTTCATTAATTTACGTACGCTATAAGACAATTACATCTCACTTTCATGATCCCGGAGTCAAGTACGTGGCTGCGTATAATCAGCTCCCTAATAAGTAACACGATATTTGGACCATATGATTACGCACCACCATCAAACTTGAAATGGGTTGCTTAATGGTCACTAGTACTGTATCTATAGTACTACTTCAGAAATCTCTCAATTCTGTCCGTATAATGAAGTTAACCGCCTTCTAAATTCTGGCTCTGTAAAATCTCATCTATCTCTAAATTCGACCACAACTCATAACTCTTTGAAGTTATTCATTTTACTACAATATATTGTGTAGTCCTTACAAGGGATCCAGTGAAATTCAGAAAAGTCCAAATATGTAATCTTCTTCGTATCTGATATATGTCATTCAAGCGCTCAGCTGTTTGCGAATAACCTCAAAGGAGCAAGTGCAACTTCAGGTGTCCATTATGTACATTAAACTTCCTCAGAAGCCATAGCCGGAACCGATGAGGATGAACCTAGCGTGGCAATAATATCGACAAATTCACTAACTAGCGACTTAGACGAGCAATCAAAAGGGCTGTCAAAGAATGCACGGTAATCGTCAGTTCACCAAAGAGATCCCACTTCGTAGTAAATTCTGCCAAGATTGTCTCATTGCCATTTGTGATTGCAATCTCCCATTAACGCAGTAATTGCAAAACGTAAAGAAGATAACTAATGTGGGAAGGTTAAGCATACATGTGAAATGTAACTATATATTGCACATCTTTCTCATATCAACTTGTTGATGCTATTACTAAATTCATATAGTAGAATCGCCTGAGAGGGAGGAGTGTAAGTCATATCACATCTGGATTATCCCACTAAATGAAAAATCACGTTCCTTAGCAGCTAAACAAAATAATGCTAAAAGTTGAGTAAATGATTATGCTCTTGGCTATAGTACATCTTTTCATTTCCAATAAAACTTGTTGAATCAAGCAACATGCTCCGGTCCAAAACAGAGCATCATCCCCAAGCTATGTAGTGCACTCCTATAAGAGTAGTCTGCGTTTGCTTAAGGGAAAAACTCAGAACCCAATAAGTGAACAGTAAAGAAGCAGTAGAAGAGTAGCAGCATAACAGTTGTTTTTTGCCATCGCGTATAAGCGGAGCTAATTTTTCTACTTCAATATGAATTCAAAATGATAAACTATAAGAACTTAAACAAAAAGTAAGATAATGAAGAAAGTTTTTGACGAAGTGCATGCCACTATCAGAATCTTGATAACTACATGCGATTCTATACGTTGAGAGAAGAAGTAGGGCAAGGAAACCTGCTTCATGGCCATGCAAGTTGCACAAGGACGGAGAAGGCAGGAAATATAAAGTAGAATTTGAGTAGCCCTGAGGCATGAATGCTAATATCATAGATGCGAACGATAGGTCCAGGGGTTTACGCAAGGAAATTAGAGCGAACACATCCGATTGGGCCTGATAATGTTGAAGAGACGTTTTAAAGGGATGAGTGATTGTGAATGAAGCTTTGACTATGGGGGTCCATATTGTAGCTCGCATACATAACGTTACTAAAGGACTATCAGGCATTCCGACTTATTTTCCTTGTGTAAAAAGGCATGTAAGAGTTCTTCATATCACATTACCTTCCTCCATTTGCTTTCCTCAGCACGATGAAAGCGAATTTCTTTCCATTAGAAATGTGAGTAATTGGTGTATAGTAGTTCTGGTTCGTAAATTATCTTTTGCAGTTGGTGAGGATTTGTTTTTGAGAAGTAAGGCGAATCGGTCTCAAAACGTTCTTTATGGCAGAATGAGGGAAAAGAGCAGAGACAAGCGGAGTCCAAGACATATGTTGCGGTTGACATGGACCCTGGGTTGGGTCAAGCTTATAAGCCAGGCCTCCCACGGGTCTGGAGGCAGTCTACGGAAGCTCATTAGACTTGGGGCATGCAGGCCCTGCAGGGAGTCGTGTTTGCCCTTTCATGTCGAAGCCAGAGGACAAGCCGCAACTTGGATTGGAACCCCGTGGGCTATATGAGTGGCAGCTGAATATGTTGCGGTTGACATGGACATGACGTATCCCATGCCCCTTCAACCCCGAGTGCTTAGGGTGGATCCAGAGTGTTTCGCGAGTGCTGATACACGAGTGACGTATATAACTGTGATGTAATTCTTTGCCAAATTTGGTTTAGGTGGCCGTTGCATTTCAATGTCTTTCAATGCATTGTTTTTTTAATAACAAGGACAATTTTTTCAATTTAGCTTTGTTCGGAAATATGAAAATAAGAAGAACATCGACATCCACCACCGTCAACAATCTCATCCCTGGACGACTGCGAAATCGAAATCTGCAATAGTTTGTCCTTACTGGCCTGTGACCACCGACTTATTTTCTGTCGTTGCGGACTTTTCTAAGGGTATTTAAGAGTTCACGCAGTGTCAGATAGTCCTTGAATCGCAAAAAATAACCTGGGTGACCATTAGTGGAAAAACAAGTTTGTAATAATAAAAATCTCAGTCTTAACAGCCAACGGTAGCTAATCTAATCACAGGTACTGTAACAATCCATGTTAAAATCATTAAATCCACGATGAATTTTTTTGTATATCAGTTTGTTATCGTGCGAGAGTCATGCAGAAGATAAGAATATGGATTATGTTCTTAAGAAATTGTGACTTGATTACTCGTCCTTTCCAACTTTGTGTGAGCAGTGTTCGGGCTATGCAGTTGAATAGGCAACTGTAGCTTTTAAAACTAAAAAAAGAAGAAAAGTCGATAGGCGATTGGTATGTTTCATCGATTATGATTTTAACCACAATCCATCTCATATTCATCCCGACTATACATGCAAGCTCTTCATTTCTAATTTCAAATAAACTAGCATCAGATTACAATCAACATGTTGCAGTGAACTTGCTTTCGTACCACATTGTTGCGTCGGTATCAGATTATTTTCAAATCACCTGAGATACTTTATTGCATTTCGATGATGTGATATGGAGGGTGCTGCAGAGCACTTCCACCACTACTGATCAGAATCCAAGTACTTTGCCGTGTGTTTCAAAGTAGATCTTTAAAGACACGATGTGTGGAAGAGTAGGGCAAATACAGCTAGGGCTAGTCTTCCATCACTCTTGTATATGTAGATCAGACACTATTGAGCATCAGATGAGTTTGGGAGACTTTGTAGATTGTGAGACCCAGCAAATTTGCCACCCAAAGAAGTGCGACTGATTATATGTCTCTCCATTACTTCTTTTCTTAAGCTTTATAACTGGTGGCGTTAAATTTCTTGAAAATTGGAAGAACTTTATTCAAGCACTTAGATGAACCTCGAGTAGAACTGTCACCAACATCGAATTCCTCAGCAGTTAACGTTGGTTGACCCTACGTATCTCTTTTAGCTGCGAAAATGGCAACCCCTGGATCTCCACCTCCATGTTATAACATGGTTCTGCAGTCGTAGCGTTCAAACCATAGCTCCGGCATGAAAGTCTGATCATCATCTGAAGATGCTTAAACTTGACAGTCGTGATCTACAAGTTCGACAAATTGCAGCGGTAGTTCTAGCTATTTTTCCGCTTTAAATGAAATAGGTGCTCCTATAAATTTCACCAGTATGTTGACAGCTGCACTTCAGTCACTTCTGGAGTGACTTGAATTGCAGCCTGGACGGCTGGACAATGTTACGGCCTGGACGGCTTTCAGCCGGGGAAGCTCATATAAAACGAGTGGGTCTGTTGAGCCTACGGCCGAGCGGGGTACGTTTACTATCTTCGATTACAATTTTTCACCTTCCTAAAGGAAAGAGCAGCGGTGCCCGCCTGGCTTTGCTGTTTCGCCAAATCTAGTCTTTTTCTTGGATTCATTCAAAGCAGGCACTTACCCAGCAGGAATGAGCATTTTCTCATCTGATTGAGGTTGGGGTACTCTGTATGTTTTGGGATACAGCGAATTAGATCGGCCAAGAGGTGCGACTCGCCTCAACCTTCTTCTTCTAACTCAGCGTTCAAATGTTTCTTGAAAACCTTGATCTTGCACTACTTTCTTGGCAATTTCAGAAGATAATATAGGCTGACGCGATATGACACCCTGAACATATTACTCATGCGTACCGACACATAAATTGTTGGGTATGCATGTGTAATCTATCACACAAATCAGTGGAAGCCATAGCTAGGTAGGATAGAAGCTTCAGTGAGGGTACAGAAATTGAAGCTGATCAATTCGCGGCAACTGAAATAGCAAGATAGCAATCAGAAGAAAATGATGATCACGTTTTGCTATCACTGCGGTCATAGCTATCTGTGATCAGATGATTTTCACTTCTGTATTATATCTCGGCAAAATTTTATAATGCTGAGTGTAAAGTTACTGTGAATAATGGACTTAAAACAGGATATACAGAGACAATATTTTCGTCATGGAAAAGACAATATTGTGGTCTTCGACCACTATCTATGCCTCAGCTGGACAGTACACGTCTCTCAATTTCATATCATAAAAGTTTATCTTCAGATTATCTATTACACAATGAGGAGATTAAAAGAGGTTTATCTGTATAAAATTAGTAGATCTACTAGCCAAAAATTAAGTCACTGAATTTACGCGCAATGTCTGATCCGACAGATCCACAACAAACCTATCGTCTCTCTTATCTATCTGAGCGCAATTATTTACAAATGAGATATCAATGTGGCTGTAGTCGCAGCACTGTGCGTATCTTTGAGAACACACGGTGTTTACTTAAATTCAACAGATCAAATAGTTCACCAGTTGGTAGCCAAGCAATATTGTTCAACTGTTCTTGCAGATGTCTCATTCGAAGTTTTCTTCGCTTCATTCTCATAGTAACGGGCTGATGGTCGAGAGGATCAGTTCTTGTCTGTCACGTCTAATAGTCCACCAGTTGGTAGCCAAGAATAATTGTTCAAATATTTTTGCTGATGTCTCATTCAAGGTCTACTTCGTTTCATTCTCATAGTAACGGGCTGATTGTCGAGAGGATTCAGTGATCATTTGACAATATCAATTTCGGGAATCCAATACTATTTATAGAATCATGATTCTTTGGTCAGTGTTGTGGCTATTTGACCATCACTCAGACCATCACTCAGACCAGTATTTTTCTTTCTGAACCCATTTTTCAACTGATAGACAACTTAAAAAACACGTTACTTGAGAATTACACGTTGTAACATTACTTGTCCACTTCAAACACGATACAAGCAAATATTCTTTGTTCGATTTTTAAACAGTTGTTCGAAAAGGTCTTCACTTAAAATTCCTGCATTTAGCTGTGGTTCTTGCTCCAGTTTTTAGCAGAGCACTCGTCCGTGACACTCTTTCTTTCCCGGTCCAGCATCATCAGTTTATGAAGCATAACGTTGTCAATATCGCAACAGGTGATATGAGAGTTTTATTAGAATGCAGTTGCAGAATGCAAACTAAGGTTGGGCTTGTAGCAATCTTTCGCTTCAATGATGTTTTGGTTAGTAAATTTAGCAGATAGTTCGTAGTCTCAGTCAGCTGTTATCAGTCTATGATTACAAATTCTAGAATAATTTTTTTTTTCCCTTGAAAATGCTGAGTACTTTGTGAATGATAAACGAAGACCTTACAATCATCAACTTGATCTAGAACCACTTATTTGACTTCTTTACTTACTTACCTGTGGCCTCACAACATACGAACTTAAAGGTGAAGACTTTCTCCAAGTCCCAGTATGCGAGCTTTTCTATATCAGTTACCGCACGTATAAAATAGTGCTAAGGCAAAACTGATATATCCCGGATAAAAATTTCGAATTTGCCAGGTCATGCTAACCTTTCGTTGGAAACTAGCTGTAGGAAGATTTAAATTTGCAGATTACTGCAGCTATATTGGGTAAGTGACTTTCAGTGCACATTGAAGAGATGAAACAAGGCTATCAAAAGCATCTCGCAGCATAAGTAGGAGTTGAAGGATTGCCATGAGTGCATTGGCCATACATAAAATAACGTTTGCTGCATCAGATTCAAGAGTAAGTGTCAACCTTTGACTGAAACAAAGTTATATATGACATGCTGTTTACAGATTAATTTTAATCTTGACACAAAATATGAGCCAATCTGCCCACTTTTGCTGTCTCTCTGGCATAGTGATCATGCATTGATGAAGACTGAGATCTCGAATTAGAATCATGCACCAAAAAAAAAGAAATTCAAATGGATCAGACACCATGAGATACGAACTTCTGCATGCATCTCGTAAATGAGCTCATGAAATATATACCTCGTATAGTTAAAGCCGTTGTAGTGGTAATGTCATCAACACTAGTATTAAGTCTTCGTCTCAGAATTCTGAATGTACTTTCTGACAGATCACATTGACAAACAGCTAAAATTTGTTTCCCACTTTATATCGAGTTTGATTCCTTAGATACTGTATTATGAATCCTTAATTATAAGAATAAATTCAAATCTTTTATTAAATATAGAATGGAATATAAAAATTTTTACAGTTTCAACTAAAAATGTTCATGTCTTATTGAAATTGAAACTGTTATGATAATAACAGTTTTCGCATGAACATAAGTTTTGCTTTATCTGCAATAAGCATTAAAAGTTTTTTTATTTCTTTACTAACGAACTACAACATGTTTCATAACATATGAAAACAAAAAATATTTATGAAATTTAGAATTCACTGTAACATGTAGAGCTGAAGATTCTTGTAAGTTTAAAAGAGGTCATATGCGACTACAATGTAAAAAAATATGAATAAAAGTATCGAATATCGAAGTATGTACATGGAGAATATTTATGGTGGCGATGAAAGAGTCTAGATTTTTTAAATGATGAACATTACAAACAGATTAGTATCCTATGCAGGGTCACATCAATCATATCACAAATTTATCCCCCTCAAAACACCCTATCATGATTAAAACTACACAATTATATCTCAGAGAAGAATGGACTCAATAGTAGAGGTTTTCACGGATACTTGAACGACAATCGGTACTGGCTGCTTACAAGTGATCATACTAAAACATACAAGATCGACTCGAAACAAGTTGCGAGTAGGAGGCGGCGTCTCGGGATCCGAGGACAGCGATCGAGTCCATGTCGCGTCGCAATCAATTACCGAAGCATCACACAAATAAAAACAACCGAAGGATGGAAAAGTCCATCGAGCCGCACGGTGGACGAAACGAAACGGTAAAGGCTACGCTAGGCTAGGCTCCAAGACCATCACCACAATCAAAATGCGGACCACTCCGACTAACGGTCTGAGTCAAAAGTACAGAACGAGTCAAATGCAGAGAGAAATTCAGATGGAGGAGGAACAGAAGAAGAACTTTCAGACGGAGGGTCCAAGGGCACGCATCTGTACGGCCGCGCCAGCGACACGTAAAGCGCGCGGCCAGAAGTCCAAACGTTGAGCGGGGCCACGTGGCGCGAATAAGACACGCCAAATCGCCGGCGGCGGGAGCAGGATTTGTCGGAATCAAGATGCACGGTGCGGTCCCGCGGTCCAGTGGGCGAGGAGCAGGAGCAGGAGCCCGAGCCCGCGCGGCCGGGGCGCGTGCATTTAGGCAGTCCTGATATAACGACTGTGCTGCTTCCGCCAGCAGCTCTCGCTCGCTCCATGGAGCGAGCGAGCGAGCGGCGGCGCTTGCCTTATTTGGACAGTTGCGAGGGACGCTCGCTCGCTCGTCTAAAGAGCCCGAGCCCCTAGCCCGAAGACCATTGATCTCCTTTTGCTAGGGACTGCGAGCGCCGTGGTTTCTCAAATGTCTTGTGGAGGTCGACGCTGCCTCTTCTCGTTCTCGTCGTCGTCGTTCGATGCAGAGTGGGCGAGCATGAAGGTGGGAAATCTCTCTGCCGAGGAGCAGGGGATGGCCATTCGAGATCGATTTGCGAACAGGGGTGGGAACGATGATGGGCGCGACGGGCACGGGGCGTTTTTGGGCTTTTGAGAGACCTCGAGCGGAGCGGATAGGGTTGCGAGTGGGGCAGTGATTTTCGAGTGCGTGAATGGTGACTGTGGAACCAAGGGAGGAGAAGTGGGGTCGATAGCAGCGGAAGGAAGAAAGTCTGTCTGTTGGAATGGCGAATCAAAGGGAGGTGCAGTCGCAATTGTTGGCTGGTGGGCAGCCGGCCGCAGTTGAAGGCTTTGTTCAAATTGGCTTTGTAGAAGTGCTTCTCGTTCCGTGGGTTGCCAAAGGCGGCAATGGAAGTTCGAATGCAGATATTGAGCTTTGGACGCGCTGCCACTTACAATCACAGGAAATGGAGGCCGTCGTGATTGTTGAGAATTCCAAGTCTGTTTTAATGCAAATGAAGAAGGCAATTAGGAACGATGAGCCCAAGCAGGCGGCCGATACACCTATTAGCAGTAAAGTCCTAGATTCATGTCAGGTTGTGGAGGCAGGGGTTTCAGATATGGAGCTCACGTTTGGGAAGGATTCCCCTCTTTTTCCTGGTGAGGATACGCCGGAAGGAGAGGCCAACGGGGTAAGTCCCGGAGATGGAGACCAAGGACAATGTGCCAGGCGCAGGTCTAAGTGCTCGGCTTTGAAAAATTACTACACTGCAACTTTGGAGCAGCTCCGTGATTTGGAAAGGAAAAGTTACATGCAAGTTACTGGAAGAGTGGTTTTCAGGCAGTGCGTAGATAATCAAGAATACTTTGTTGTTCTCTTTGATGTTTACATACCTGGGATGTTCTGCACACCTGGGCCACATCACCGGTGGAAAGGCGGGACTCACGTATCCGTCGGTCTTTCTCATGTCAGGTAAATGTTCTAAAAACTGCTGATGGTAGCCATTGCATATCTTTGCTCTGGGGATTGCCGGTGGAGAGCGATGTATTTGTGGTCCTCTCTTCACCTATCTATGCATCTGTTTAGCGTTAGAATATTCTGCAAAGCTCTGAATATTTGGTTTATGGTTTTTCAGTAACAACTATGAGAGGAGGAGGCAAGTCCTGGACCAACGGCTGTCGTACAGCCTGGAAGACATCTTCAACATTGGCACTTGCCATGTTATAGGCTGCGAAACACATTTGGATCTGAGTGAGGCCGAGAAGAGTGAACGGTTCAACTTGAATGCCATCTTTTCGACTTTGCCGGGCATTGTGAGGAGCGAAACAAGACTGAATACATGTGTGGAGCCTAGTGAACCAGTGCGCTTAGGGAAAACTGGTATTTACCACTTACCTGATGAAGTCTTATCTGGAATCCTGTCTAAGCTCAATTCTAGTGACCTTTCCAGCTGCGCTGCAGTTTGTAGACATTGTCGAGCGCTGGTGGGCACAGTTTTACCGTCCATGAATGTGAAGTTGTTTCCACATCAAGAGTCAGCTGTGAGGTGGATGTTGCAGAGAGAGCGAGTCCCTCAAGAACTCACTTATCCTCATATTGGCCATCTATTCTCTGAAGATGGAAAAGAGGTTTACTTTGACAAAGTGACAGGGGGGTTGTACTCAGAAGCCCTTCCTTCTGTGTTTGATTTTAGAGGAGGTATGGTGTGTGATGAGCCAGGTCTGGGCAAGACTGTCACTGCTCTTTCCCTTATCTTGAAGACCCAAGGAGTAGTGGCCACCGCTCCTCCAAATGTGAACATTCAGTGGTGTGAGCATACGTCACAAAAATGGACGGGCTATTATGAAGTAAGCACGAGAAATGATCCATACCGTCCCATGTCCACCTTGAAGAGGTGTTCACTGTTGAAGGGCAGGCGCGATCAGTCCCCTGCAACAGTACTAGACTCACCATCCTCGAGCCATAGACTTTCTCCCTCTTCCCCTGCTTCCTCCTGTTCGACTTTTTCAAAAGCTGGGCTAGCCACCGACTTAATGTGGCCATTCAGTGGAGGTCAAGTTCTTCCTTTTCCATCCCCTTCTACTCCCACCTCACAAACTGTTGAGTCACATGCTTCTGGTACATCAGAGTCACCTCAAGATTCTTGTAGGGCTAAGCGGAAGTTGTGGGATTCGTCTCCTGACAATGCATTCAAGAAGGCCAGGCGGTGTAGTACTCCGAAACGTCCAAAGGGACGTACGAAAGAAAAAATGAAGGACAATGATTTACTTCATGATGAAGATGATAAATGGGTACAGTGTGACGCCTGTGGGAAGTGGAGGAAGATACCTGCGGAAGGGCGACCTCTCAAGGAGGGAATGGCCTGGTTTTGTTCTATGAATGAAGATGAACTTCATCAGGATTGTACTCTTCCGGAAGAGATATTTGACAAAAATGAGATGATCACTTGCCTACCAGGATTTGTTCATATGAGTAAGGAGACAGATACAGAGGTCAATGTTCCTTTTTTCAGGAATGTATTTAGATCTCATGTTCAATCCATTGACGAGGAGGCTAAGAAAGCCCTAAAGTGGTTGGGCGATCTCCCGCGGGAGAAAGTGGTGAAGGCTGCTACCGAAGGTTTGCAGCTGCCTCCAACTCTGCAGATGGCACCTGTGGGAGGCGTGGAGAATCATCCTTATGAAAAGATACTGGGGGCTTTCGGTCTGACGAAGAGGAAGGAGCGGAAGAAGAGCGTGAGATGGTTCTACCCGAAGAATCTCAACAATCTAGTCTTTGATTGTCTTGCTTTGAAAGAGGCAATAGCTGAACCTGTGGATGAGGTGATGCGATTCTACCTGTCAAAGGCTACTCTTGTGGTGGTACCTAACAATTTGATAGAGCATTGGCGGACTCAGATTCTCAAGCACATCTCAAGGGATCAACTCAGGTTCTTCATCTGGACGGATGTGAAAAGACTCCCAGCTGCCCACGTTCTAGCGTGGGAATACGATGTTGTGATCACGACGTTCAGCAGGCTTAGTGCTGAGTGGAATAATCGGAATACGAGTCCCCTAGCTAGGATTCATTGGCTACGGATAGTGCTAGATGAGGGACACACCCTGGGAGCTAGTATAGCGTCGACTAATAAACTCAATATGGCGGTCGGCATGCGGGCCTGTCGACGATGGATCCTGACCGGAACTCCAACCCCTAATACTCCGACCACTCAAGTTGGTCATCTTCTGCCGATGTTGAAGTTTCTGCATGAGGAGATTTACGGGAATCACCCAAAGTTTTTTGACGCAGCCGTATTAAGACCCTTCGAGGCATGTACAGAGGAGGGTCGAAATGCTCTTGTAAATGTTTTGAGCAGGTGCATGATCAGTGCCAGGAAATGTGATCTGCGTTCCATTCCGACATGCACGCGGAAGAGGAAACTGCTAGATTTTACCAATGAGGAGCATGCTGCCAGTTACAACGAGTTGGTGGTCACTGTGAAGAGAAATATCCTTATGGCTGACTGGAGAGATCCATCTCATATTGAATCTCTTTTGAACCCAAAAAAATGGAAAGAACGGAATAACACTTTGAGGAACGTACGCTTGTCATGCTGTGTTGCCGGTCATATCAAAGTGTACAACGCAAATCGTGATATAGACGACACCATGGCCATGCTTGTCGAGAAGGGAGTGTCTGAGATGTCCCGTGAATATTACCATATCAGGAGCTGTCTCTTGATAGGTGGTCTTTGTGATAGGTATGAACTTTTTCAACGTAATCTCTGCAGTTTAGACATATCATCAGGAATATAATCATTTATATCGTTTTGTCTGAAAATCCCTCTATAATTTCAGTTCTAATTATTGGTTTGTGCTAATTTGCCCTTATGCAGTTTATAAAACCTGACGTAATCTCCGTAAATCGTTGTTGTCTGTACAGGTGTTCTGAATATTCTAGATTGCCAGCCATCACACCATGCCGGCATCTTTTATGCCTCACCTGTGTGGAACTTGATTGCACCAAATGCTCTTTGTGTAACCATCCATACCTGATGCAAGTCCCTAAACCACGTCCAGACAATCCGTCACCAAAGTGGCCTGTGCCCCAAAACCTTATTGAGTTGCAGCCTTCTTATGTGCAGGTATTGTTGAACCTTTTGACATGACCAGCAACACAGCATGAGAGCTTCACCTATCTCAAACTATAACCGTGTCCTTTGTTTAGTCTATGGCATGTTTTTTAACTGCAATCATTTATCAAAGTGTTGTTGATCATTGCGCAGGATAATTGGGATCCAGATTGGCGGCACACTACCAGCAGTAAAATTGCGTACCTTGTTGGGCAGTTATGGGAGATGAATACTAGGAACGAAAGGATCTTTTCGCAGCATTTGAACATAATGGTTCGGAAGGCAGCCGAGAAGGAAGTCAAACCAGAAAAAGCTATCGTGTACTCTCAGTTTTTGGAGCACATTAATGTGATTGAAAAGCAGGTAAGCCGTTCGTGTATCACTTGATTCGTGTATTTTTTAAGTTTTTATCTTGGTATGATATATTGTAGAAACTAACAGTGTTCTTTCTGTTTTGTTAGTTTGTCGATGCAGGTATAAATCATGTAGGAATGTACAGTCCGATGCAGATGAGAGACAAGGTAAGTGTATGTTGTTTACGTATAGATTTGCATTCTTTTGTAGTAAGCGTTATTTTTTAGGTTAAAATCCCTAATTTAAGGAATGGTCATGTGTAATATAGGTGTACAGGATTGAGGATAACTAGTAGATCACATATTCATCAGTTAACATGTGTGTCTTGTTTGGTTCAGATGAAGTCCTTAAAGAGATTTAAGGAAATACCCGAGTGTACTGTCTTGATATTGGATGGCAGTCATGCCCTGGGACTGGACCTTAGTTTCGTTTCCAGGGTTTATCTCATGGAGCCTATTTGGGACAGTAGGTGAGTTTATGCTTCAATGGCAAGTCAGTTCATGGCAAGCTGTATCACTTCCATCTCACTCTGTCAGACTGTTGACTTGGATGAACTTTTTATTGTTTTATGTCAGCGTGGAAGAACAGGTGGTTAGTCGAGCCCATCGCATGGGGGCATCTCAGCCTATAACCGTTGAAACTTTGGCAATGCGTGGAACAATCGAAGAGCAAATGATTGCGATCAAGGTAAATACGCTGACCTTTCATCTTTTAACTGGCTATGTTGATCATCGTTCGTCTTACTTAAATTGCCGTCTTTTCTTAATTCTATTTAAGCTATAAAACTGTCACTTAGTTTTCTATCTGATGCTCACCACACTGTGCCCTTACTTATGGTTCACAGGAATCTATTGTAAAGAGTGGAAGCAGCGGAAAGGAATCAGCTGAGTATTACTTACAACAGTTAGACTTTGTGCACGGGAAGAAAAGTTAGAGTAAAATGTAATCGGAATTGTTTTTTGTACAGCTATACGGGGAATATATTCTTGATAGGAGTACAGTAGAATACACATGAGGCGAATTCCCCTTCTGAATGTTCTGTAAGTTCAATTTTGACATTACCACAGAGAAGTGGTCCCGCACTAAACTATCGACTTATTATATTAGGTCTTTTCAAATTCAACTGCAAGGGAAGAGTTCCATAAATTACTTGCGGATTCAGTTCAGTTTTTCTTTTCCACTAAAGCCGCGAGGGACTAGTTCCGTAGAATTGTTAGGTACAAATCCAAATATCATTGCAATTGGTTAGGTATAACCAATTGCAATTGGGTACCTCTTTTTATGGAATATATACCTCTTTCCAGTTATAATTGCAATTTGTGTGGCACTTACATTCTATATATTATAGACATATACTTGTTTCCCCAAATATAATTGCAATAGGTGAGGCATGACATTAGCTTTTCTGATGGACATACTCATGTATTTCCAATTATAATTGCAATTGGTAAGTGGTGGTATGTAATTGTGGAATTTGGCATAGTTTATGAGTCTTGATTCGGAACTTTCTGGCGCCAATCGGTACGCACCGATCCCTCGAGAGTTTACACCTTACTCCATATTTGCGTGGCCGAAATATGACAGTACCAATGGGCTTCCATTGAAGGCTATCCGGCTGAAGAAAATAAGGAAAAGCAACTATTATGATATCGGGTTACTTCTCTTTATTTTCTTTCTCGCATATCCTTTTTGCTCCGTTACCGTGTATTTCTTCTTTGCTTGCTCGCTAAACTTAGGTCTCGATACTGTCTTCCTTAATTTTAAGACAAATTTATACTCACTTGGGATTGGCATGTATATGTGCAAATGGGAGAAAATTACTTGATCGAAATCTCTAGCCGTCCATGTATTAGAATATGGACGGGGGGTTTAGGATGGCAAGCTCGCGGAATTTGTTGGACCACCTTGTTGCTAACGGCGGCGTGGCCATGAATGACCCTCTCCGGGAGTACTTCAGCCTCGTGACCCTAATGATGTGGACACATTTCTTCGTAAAAATTCGAAGAAAGGTGTTCTTCGAAGTTAGACGGAGACCATTTCTTAGAAGTTTATGCACACATAAACCTGACGGCCTTGTCACCCACCGACCATGTACCAAGATGATCTGGGTTTATGTGTGCTTCAAGATGGATATTTGGACGATTTAGGATGGTAAGCTTCGCAGAGTTTCTTCAGATGCAGTCAGGGCATGAATCGTCCTTTCCTGGAGTACTCCAGGAAAGGAAGATTCCTGGAGTACTCCAGCGTCATTACCGTAATGATGTGGAGACCTTTCTTCGAAGTTATATACGCAAACCATTTCTTCGAAGTTAATCCTAGCGGAAAAATCTGACATTCTCGTCAGCTCTGTTGAGTCTATTCTTTTCTTTTGTGAAGAGTCAAATTTGCAATTGTTTTAAATTGATAGTTGAATTTAAAGTAAATTATTTTGTGGAACTCATTGAAATAAATTATTTAGTGGGACCCATCAAATTTCGTTTATGTTATGGGATTCCCATGAAACGTCATTCGTGAAACAAGTAATTCGTCTCAGGCCTCCCAAAGGTTGAGGCGGATCCAAAAGCTGTTCTTTTAGATAGTCGGCGGATGAGAAGCTAGTTTGGATTTCTGTCCGGGACGAGAATGAGCGAAATGGAGGGAACGAAGGTAGAGACGAGGAAGTGTGAGTTTTCTGGGAAGGACACGGGCTGCCTTTGGAAACAAATTGTTGATGCACATACTCAAGAGATGATGCATCGTTCATAGCCATGTGCGAGGAAAGCCGGAATTTACTTCAACATTGTTCATGCTAGAACAAGGGTGAAATGAAAAATGATGGATACTAGTAATCAATTTGTGTTAAGATGATGGGACATCAAATAAATACCTCAAAAATTTGCAATTCTAATTGTTTAGACTTATAGTTTAATTTATAGCGTTTTCCGCTCTGCTCGCCCTCTCGTATCATCATTATCGGCTCTTGTTGGTACGTTCATTTTTATTCTCTAGACGTAGTTGCCATCATAATAAAGCAATCTCTATTATCTCATTCTCAAAGAGTATCTGAAATTCGTTGTAGTTTGTGAAATCGAGTGAGTGGCCATAGTTTTTTCCTGCGTGAACATTAAGTCTGCGACATGGACATGGCTACAAGCAAGTAACCAAACTAATCTCTTTCGTGAAAATTCGTTAGTTTGATAGTGGCATTCATTCTCCACACTATAGCGCAAGTTATTGGATTATAATATAATTTCTAATGGAACATGAATGTTGACGATGGGTTGAATCATTCAACCCACCATGCCATTCAGCTTGATTGGCATCCACTCCCCACACTACAGCGCAAATTATTGTATTATAATATAACTTTTATTCAAACATGATTCACAGTGGGTCTCACATTATAGCATTAATTATTGGATATAATATTAAATTATTGAAACATCTGACGGTGGATCCCACACCTATAGCATAAATTATTGGATTATGATATAACTTTTATTGGGACATATCTAAGGGTAGATCCCACACTATAATGTAAATTATTGGATTATAATATAACTTTTGTTGAAACATGGTTGATGGTGGGTTGAATAGTCTTCAATTGTTCCATCGTGTAAAATGAAACATGTTGAATCCAAAGTGTGTTGCTTTTCTCAGGACTCCCATCAAGTATATTTATTTATAAAATCTTGTTAGCTAAATTGCTAATAACAATCATCATGTACTAAAAAACCAGCGTGAAATGAGTGACCTAAAACTTGAGATATGGATAAATTCTAATTGTCTTATTTGACAACTCAGAAGATAAATAGCTTTACAATGCATCTAGGAAACCAAAATTTGCCCCATGGTCTCTACATGTTCAATATAGATAGCTACAACACGGGAGTAAGAGTGTACATATCTATATCATATAATCACTCTCATATATTGCTGTAGAGGCTAAGCATATCATCTATTTGGCTCATCCCATATATACTCCATGAAGAATTTCAATCAATATTGCTCCAATACTTGGTAATGATCTTAAAAATGATAATTGTGTGTGAGTACTATAGCAAATATGAATCAATTTTGACCACATGACTTAGATGAGTAATTTACTCATGCGCTCTACTAAGTATACTTTAAAACTCATTCAGAAATTTTGCTACAGCACACTACCTTGCACAATATCCACAATCTACATAATTTTTGATTCATCAAATGTTAAATGGATCATATGCAAAAGCATCAATTAACATATTTGAACAAATTTAATAGCATCAATTTTGAGAAATTAATGTGACGTTAAAATTACACACATCAAAACCTTCAAATCATACCATTGAAATCAACTCAAAACCTAAAGCTGTCATATTCTAATGAAAAGTATATTTCCTTTGACTCAAAAGTTTTTAAATGATTTTATTTAGTATTATTCTTGAACAATTATTGTGAGAAAAGTATAGCCACATGATCATCTTCAAAGGTAAGTTGCTGCTAAACCACAGAAAACATGAAACTCATTGATAAATTTACCTCCATGTTAGATCAACACCAAGAGTTATGCAAATGATCTAAGTCCGTATATTAAAAACATCTTGTATATATATACACAATTTGATCATCTTCATTATTCCATATCACCAATATCCTTTTTTGGCAGATTTTGAATCCTAAAGATAAAGAGCTATGATAGAGTTGCATAAACAGCCCCACACACAATCCCCTACCATACATATCATTACCCTTTATACAATATATGCATGAAAAAAATTACATTAATAGTAAGTTTTAAATTATGTTGACGTGAAAATCACTTTATTTATCATCTCATGTGTATGCAAATTACATTTTATATTATGCCTTTGACACAATACAGAATTTTTCATGAAAAAATCTGCAAGATGTCGTCAGTTGCTAATTATAAATGTCAGATGAGAACCAAGGTACTGCTCACCGTGTATAATTCTCTCCTGCTTGTTCTTTTTTCTGCAGGAGAATTTGAGTGCTATGGCACGGTTTGCGTTTAGCAGGACGTTGCTGACCCCGTGCAACTTGGTGCTGGCTGCCATCATGATCTGGCTGAGCCTCTCGATGGTGGATGATGCCGCTGAGAACTGTTCTTCTGTATTGAACGCGATGACTGGTAATCTTGCGGACAACGAGGTCTTCCTATGATGCTCTTGTATACCAGCCCACGAGTCCTGGTGTGCAATATCACGATGTACTCCTTGGCTATTATTTAAGTATAGATGAGAGCGGTACTTTGGTATACTAAACTCTCGGTTAAATAATTACGCGTTTATACACGCATCCCGGATAAGTATGCATTGTTTTTATTGTTGATCAAGTTTATTTAGTTCAATACGTTGTGAATTATCATTTGGCGTAAGTTGTCTAGTTCTTTGAGTTTTGCTTAATAGTGACAAACGTGATCTTGCTATGAAAAGATTCAAACAATTTTCTAATAGCATCAAGTTCTTCCTTTGGCTCTCTATGATATTCTGAGCACAGCAACTGATACTTTATATCAACCACCTACTTATAAAGTGATTCAAATTACTTACATACAACGCAATTTTCTAAACCTAAATATGAATCTTGTGAGTCAAAAAAATTAATAATTTATTCTATCATCTACATTTTCTTCTGCAAGTTTCATAGTCTCCAAAAGCTCTTCAACTTCTTCCAGATCTTCAATTGTAAATACTTCATTGTTTTCATCATACACATGAAGAAATGCTTCAATCTCTTCTTGTCCAAGAGAAAGATTTTAAGCTGCAATATTTTGTGTAACTTCAGTCACTTAATGTTCCATCTCGTTCACAACTTACTTATCGGCTTCCAATGTCATTATTTTTGCTTTAACAAATGCATTTTTAGTATAGCTTGGTGATACGGATTGCCAAGCTTCTTTGACATAATTTGTACTATGGATCAAGTGAGTTGGACATTTGTATGCAACTCCAGCAACACCACGTTTCAATTTCTATCTCTGCGTTCTTAATTGAAATTTTTCTTCTCATCCATTTCATAAAAGTCAAGAACATACTTGAGATAAAGATATTTGAACTTCTTTTCTTGAGCTGCAATTATGTCCATATTGTAGGGCTGTTTCCAACTTGTGAAATTTGCAAGAAAGAAAACAATCCTAACATTGTGGCGTTCAAAAGCTTTGAAGTGTTCAAGTACATTATTCATTAGCAACAGAATGCTGAACAACAATGATGTCCAGTTCGTTTTTTCATCTTTAGAAAACACACTTCTAGCATGTTTGAACATACATCCACACTTTCACTTGACAGATTTATATAATATGTCATTGAAGATCCTTAATACAATCTTTTGGTTTACCAATCAATGTGCAGGGTATTTTGTGAGTTCCCACAGCGTCGAC